CCCGAGGGAACCACTTGGAATAGCTTGTGAATGAATTTGGGCAAGCTTGGGCTGGCGTACTTGCCATAGCAGCAGCCCGTACAGGACAGCCAGGCCAGGAAGGCCGCGGCTGGCAAGAAAAAACTTCGCACTTGAGTGTGCCATTCTTGTTCGATGACGTAATAGAAGTGGGCCAGGGCACTGCCATACTGGTATACGGCTACGCCAACGTAGTCCAAAAAATAAAACGTGTAGTGGGAGAGCTCAGACTTGGCCGAGAGCAGGTGGGCAAGCGCGCTGCAGCCCAGGTAGGTGAAGGCAGCAAGGAGCAGGATGAATAGTGGCTGGGCGTGCGGGTCTCGCAGGAAGTCCACGGTTTCTGACAGCTCCTGAAATTTGACTAAGATAATGAGGGAGGCCAGCAGGTGTGTCCACACATTTACAGACTCATTATGCCTCTGGAACATAGTGAGGAAGTAGTAGCGCCAGTTCTGGTCAGGCGGCCTGTAGCCCGTGAATACATGCGACTCACGGAAAACCCACGGCACATCGCTCACCATCACAGTACAAGGCAGTTTAGGAAAGGCTGACTCCAGGAAACGGGGGATTTGGCGAAGCTGCTGTGCGTTGATGAACAGCCGCCCAATCTGCTCCATCACAACCGTCGCCATGGCGAGGACTAATTAAGCGGCAGTCTATTGTGAGATCTGTTTGGGAAAAAGTATTCAACAGTTAAATAGTACCCTTGCTTTATTAAGACCGTTCACTTGGAATAAAACATTTGGAATAAAAGCTTTTTTAAAACTCTCAATACTTTAATTTGTGTACCAAAAGTGTGAATGCATGCATTATACATGAATACATGTAAATCAAATGTATGTGTTTTATAACATTCTGTAGTGGAAATGATGGAAATTATATTCAACATTTTTTGGAATAAAATAGCTAACTACTTTGACTTGCTACGGTTAATTTAGCATATAGCATTTTATATATATCCTAAATATACTTGTTGTTGTTTGTTTTTGGTGTGTGTGTGTGTGT